ACAGCTGATAAAGAACTTGTATCTGGAATTTATCAAGAACCCTCAATAAGAAAACAGAGGATCCAATCAGGAAGCACTGACGAAAGACTCGAACAGTCACTTCACCAGAAAGCATGTAAGATGACAACAAGCACATGGAAGATGCTCAGCGGTGTTAGTCATTAGAGGAACGCGAACGAAAATCACGAGAAACCTCTATGGCCATTTTAGAATGGCTGGGATTAAAAAGACCTTACCCGGTGTTGGTGAGGGTGTGGAGGAATTGGGACTCCCACGGCCTGCTGGGCAGAATGCAAATGGCATGACCACTTTGGAAAACACTTTGGCAGCTTCTAAAAAATTTAAATGTACCCTAACCATACGAATCAGACATTCTGCCTCCTAGGTATTTACCCAAGAGAAAAGGAGGCATATGTTCGTACAGACTTGTACGTGAATCTTCGTAACAGCCTTATTTGTGAAATGCAAGATGGAAACAACTCAAATGTCCACCAGAAGGCGAATGGATAAAGAAATTGTGGTTACGTCCATACACTGGAAAGCTACTCACCAATAAAAAGGAATGGGCTATTGATACACCCAACGATGTGGATGAATTTCAGAATAACTGTTCTGAGTGAAAGAAGCCAGACCCTCCCCCTCAGAAAGAGTTTACACTATGAGATTCCATTGATTGATCGAGTGATTGATTGGTTTTTAAGTAATCTCTATACCCAACATGGGGCTCGAACTTACAACCCCATGATCAAGCATCTCATGCTCTACCGACTGAGCCAGCCATGCGCCCCTGTGATTTCCTTTACAAAACTCCTTAGTGACAAAACTCCTTAGTGACTGCCAGGGGGCGGGGGGCACAGAAGAACAGCAAAGGGACATGAGGAAACTTTTGGGGGTGATGTTCACTAATCTTGATTATGTCAGTCTTAAAAAATTGTATACTTTAAGTAGTTTTTTTTAATGTTTTTTATTTATTTCTGAGAGAGAGAGAGAGAGAGACAGACAGCGTGAGCAGAGGAGGGTCAGAGAGAGAGAGGGAGACACAGAATCCGAAGCAGCTCCAGGCTCTGAGCTGGCTGTCAGCACAGAGCCCAATGTGGGGCTCGAATCCACGAACCATGAGATCATGACCTGAGCTGCAGTCGGACGCTTAACCAACTGAGCCACCCAGTCGCCCCTAAATAGTGTAGTTTTATTGTATGTTATTTATACTTCAACAAAGCTGTCAGAAAAGTTTCCTACCTCACACCATATAAAAACAGAAGTTCTGGGGCACCTGGGTGGCTCAGTCGGTTGGGTGTCTGACTCTTGATTTTGGCTCAAGGGTCGTGCCATCCCAGGGTCCCAGGCTCCCCAGGGTCGTGGGATCAAGCCTTGTGTCAGGCTCCGTGCTGAGCTTGGAGCCTGCTTGAGATTCCCTCTCTCTGCCTGTCTAAAATAAAACAAACATAAATTCTAGAGTTTTATTAGTTATTAGAGACCCAAATGTGAAAAGCAAAGTTCAAATATTTTTAAA